CATACATGAACCTTGAGCACATTATGCAAAGTGAAATAATAAATAAGCTGTCACAAAATAAAAGGCCAGTCACAAAAAGACAAATACTGTGATTCCCCTTATACAAGGTACCTAGAGCAGTCAAATGCATTGACAATTGATGTACCAATAATAATGATGATGTCAAAGGCTGGGAGTGTGCATGAGAGTGTTTAATGGACAGAGTTTCAGTTTTACAAGATGAAAAAAGTTCTGCAGATGGGTGGTTATTATGGTTGCATAACAATGTGAATGTAAATACCATTGACTGTCCTCATACAAATGGTTAAAATGATCTGTGTATTTCACCACAATTAAACATTTTTTCAAGGAAAAAAATTAGATGGCCTTCAGTTTCCCATAGAATAATACCAGCCTGGGCTCCACTCCCAAAAATGTGCCTTCTATTTCACTTCATACTGCTAACAGTAGGGCACATTCTTCAAGTAAGAAATATTAGCCTGCCTCACTTGCAATTGCTGAAACTGGAAAATAAAAGCATTTCAAAATGAATAGAAAATGGCAGGCATTACATTATAAAAAGTCAACAAAAAATGGGAATATATTGAAAAACCTAACCATGAAACAAATGCAACATTCCAACCCAAACTGAATAAACGTAAACATTTGGTGTTATGAAATAATATTGTGTATCAAAAAAAGAAGTCAGAACTAAAGCAGACAAAAAAGAAAAGATATAAGACAAAAGTTAGTCAAAACCAGGAAAAACTGAAGAAAAAGACAAATCATCTCAGGGGGGAAGAAGTCTAATTTGTAAGATGTCCAAGGTAAACAGACTTTATTTACAATATAATAAGTGATATTAAGGAAAGGAATTAAAAGAGTCAAGAAATAAAATCAAGAAAGCAGTAAGGATCAGAGAGAAAGAGCTAGAAACCAAGGCAAAACAAACAAATAAACAAAAACCCAACATATATTATATATATTCCCTAAAGAAAAAAAGCAAAAATAATGGATCAGATGTAATATGCAAAAGCATAATACAAGAAAAACTTCCTGGAAATAAAATATGAATCTACACATCAAAAGGGTCATTCCATGAACCTAGGGAAAACTGATATGGAATGGTCAACTCTGAGATTTATCTTAGAAACTGAATTAGATTTGAAAGAAAAAAACCATCCAGGCCTCAGGCAAAAAGATGAAATCATTTAGGAATTAAAGAATCAGGTTGGTATTTTCACTGCAACATACAAAGAAAGGCAGCAAAGAAGTTTTTAAAACCTCAAGGAAAGAAACTATGAACCAAGATCTTATAGCCACCTGTCCTTCAAATAGCAAAGCTATAAAAATCAGTTTTGGATATACAAAAACTCAAGAATACAGTATTCAGGAACCTCTCTTGAAGAATTTACTGAAGAATGAATTTCATCCAAATAAAGACTAACTGGGGAGAAATTCAGAAAACTGTGTGATGGAGAGCATTAAATATATTAAGTTGTAGATATTTAAAATAAAGGTGGTGATAAGAATGGAAAACCTGTATGCAAATTTTGTTTCCTGAAAACAACATGACTAAAAAACTGGGAGGAGAGAAAACAGAATAAAATAATTGTGGTTATATAATAGGAGGGAGTTAAGATATGGCTGACAAATGAAAATACAGATTCCCAATAAGGAAAAGAAATTTGAGGACACAAGAAAAGATACAAGTAAAACCATACGTTTGGAACAAAAGGACAAACATTACTAAACACCTAAAGAAACTTTGAGTTTTTCATGTATTTGTTTTGGGTTGTTTTTTGTTTTGTTTGTTAGCACTTCCTTACTTTCTGGGACTGTAAGATGCTCCAGGTTCACATCTTCATTTCCTTCCCCAGTCGTAGCATCAACTTTCCCCAAGAAGCCTGGTTCCTGGTGTAAAGGGAGCTGAACATTCACTGGAAGCCCAGTTGCTCTATGCTCTGGATGGGGGAGGAGTCTTAAACACTCTCTCCAAGGCTGATTATTGGGAAAATGAAGAGAGCCAGCACAGCAATAAAAGGGCTAGAATGTCCTGAACCACTCCAGTAGTTAGAAGGTGCTTTATTTCAAGGAACCGCTCAGCTAGGGCCAGTCTGGCCAAATCCTCTGGATTGTATTATCTTGAATGACAAGAAAGATGTGTGATACAGTAAATTAACCAGGAGTGATCCAGTATACTCTAGCATCCAAAAAACTGCCCTATCCAGACACTCAGAAGGACCACCTGAGGACACACTGCTGTGAGGACTCACATCTCATTTACCCCCTAGCAAACTCTCCCAAGCAGTTCCCTTCCAAGCTTATTCTGTTACTATACAGCAGTCACCTGGTCCACGAGTCTCTGGACACCCGCTCCAGCCTCTATACTCATCAGACAGCCACAGGGAGTCGCTCTGTGATCAAACCAATTTTCACAGTGCCTGAGTCAGAAGAGTGGAATCTTTACAAGGTGCCAGCTGTATTCAAGGCCTTAACCTCGCAACTTTGAGGCCAAACCAGATAAACCCCACAACTACTCTTCCAGGTGTCATAATAGGTGTTACATGGTATTGCTTCTAACTATTTTAAACATTATTTTAACCCCCACATATACTCATTCCCGGGTTTCAGCACCCAAACTGTTTTTTTAAAACCACCAAAAATAAATAACCTCACATGAATATTCTATTCCTTTTATGTACAGTTTAACAGCTATCCTTTTTCTTCCCATAATTCCTTCCAGTTAAAGTTATAATTTCAGTGTGTCTTTTTCTCAATCTATATATTTAATTGTATGTACAATAAAGTTTTACGAAGGCGGTTAGGGCAAGAGGTGTGGAAATCAGTTTGTCTGGTATTGTTTTTGTGCTTTTTTGTACTTAATAGTATGTCTTGGTGATCTTTCTTGTTAGCACACAAATCTAATTCACATATATAGTAATAGTTGCATTATATTTAAGAATAAATGTACCAGTTTTATTTTAAATGTTTCACTGTTATATAAACAAAGCTGCAGTAAACATCCTTGCAAGTATATGTACATATACACAGGTATGTTTTTAGGATAGACACTTAAGTGTAGAATTGCTGGATTAAAGAATCTTCACATTTAAATTTTTGGAGGGGGTTATGAGAGAGATACAAGAGTCCCTGTAGGTTCGGAAGCCACAGAATCATCTGAAGCCATCCAATCTTTTGTTCCCTAGGTATTTTAAAGGCAATTCCACCAGAATGTAAATTCCATGACAGCTGAAACCCTGATGCCTTACCCCAGAAAAGAATACCAGGGCCTAGAACATGTTCAGCATCTAAGCAATCACTGAATAAATGAACACATGTAGGCCAGTCACAGGCATATTCCTCAACCAGAATGCAAAATTTTCATGGATTTTAGAGAGACCACAAACATCAAAGAAATTTCTCTTTAAAGAGATTTCTGAGTTATCTGGGATTGCTCTGGGCTCCTAAATTTCCATCCCATCTTCTTCTTCCCCCTTTCCAAGTCACCACCTTGAGTCCCTTCATATACCCATGACATGGACCAACCCCTTAGAGCCAACCACTTGCCAGTCCCAAGAGAATTTAGAGAACCTAAAATTTAGAATGCTTTTTAGTACAGGTGACCAAAGTTAAGATTCCATCATACCAAAGGGAGCAGGAAATCATTTGAAGACAAGCTGAATTAGGTGGTCTCTTGAAGAGTACTAAGAAACTGAAGGAACTCAGCTGACGCTTTCTCCAGCCTGCCTTGAAAGGGGGAGCAAAAGGGCCCAGTCTACTAGAGTAGAGCATTACTTGAAGGACCTGTAGAGCACAAAATCCTGTCAAGGGAAGAACCCATTAATCGGTCTGCAATTGGCCAAAAAATACTCTATGTGAAACTCTGAGCCAGTAGACAGACACATTCACAGTGATTAGGCAAAAGTTATGCCTGGCACCAAGGGACTTATGTACAAAAGTCCAAAGGAAAGAGTATAGTACTTTAAGGGACCCACAGGTGGTTCAGACGCTTCAAGGGGCTAAATGAGGCAGGGAATGTAGATAAGCCATATGGTGGCAGCCTTGCTAACCCACACAGAGCCCACTTTTCAAAGTACAGAACCACCAAAGGTTATTGCAGAATTCACCTAATTGGAGTTCGTGTAACTATTGCTGGTTTGTTCAAGAGACTGATTTTTTTCCCTCTGTAACCCTGGGATCTGGCACAGTACCCAATCCAGGGAATATCAAAGCTTTTTCTTCAGTTAAGCAGTATGTGTCATCCAATTCTCAAGTCAGACCAAAGTAGGGAAGGCAGCTTATCAATGCTTCTCAATGGGACTGGGGGCGGGGGGACACATCCTATTTGTCAAACTCGGGGAGGAGGTGCTACCAGCATCTAGTGAGCAGAGGCTAGAGATATGCTAAAAACATCCTGAAATGCACAAGAGAGCCTCCACAACAAAGAATTAACCAGCCCCAAGTGTCAATAGTGCCAAAACCAAGTAACCCTGTGCTTAGCATAACTGCAGATAGTAAAGAAAACACTAAGTTCAACCATAAACTGTTCCAAAAACAGACCAAAGGAGGCTAAAATTATAGGGAAAGTTCTGTTCAGACTCCTCCGGACACACATCCCATCAGAGGAAAATAAAACTCGTGCTGAAGGAACCTAGGAAAAAAAAAAAAGTGACAGGGCTCAAATGAAGGGAGAAGAAAGCAGCAGCTCTATATGTAAATATTCAGTGTAGGAAGAAAAAAAAAACAATACACAGGGAAGAATATGGAATGTTCCCACCAAATTAACAGGCCCAGTCAATGCCATTTATTATACACGTTGAACAGTCTCTGAGACCCAAGGGCTCCCATATGAATTTTTTTTTTCCTTTTTCTTTTTTGCATCAAACAGGTTCTTCCAAGAGCCTACTCACAAGGAAGAAAAAAAAAGAATAATCCTCAACAAAATGAAACAAACAGGAAAAGCTGAACATTCTACATATGAAAAAGAAAGGTTAAAAAACTCACCAGACAAAAACCACACCAAACACTCGTCCCATTTAATTTCCTGTTACATGCTCTGAGGGAGCCACGAACATAAGACCCCAAGGCAGCAATGTTCTGAGGTTCTAGCTCTGGCTCCCTCTATGTGACAAATTCATGCACACACGCCCGCACATACCACTGACCCAGGCAGAAATACACATGCATGCACAGGTGGTGAAGAACCACAGGGGGTTGAGGGGGAAAGAGGGCTGGTCAAAAATGTGCTATCAACTGGACACTGGGGACCCAGAAAACCCTTCTGCTGCAGGCTAAGCAAGAATCAAAATTATAACAGGGAAAACACAGGATAAATGTAGGATGCTCAGAGAAGAGATTGGACAGATGAAGAGGGAAAGATACAGGGGGAGTTTTGGGAAAGCAGCCTCAGAAGAGGTTTTTCTTTATTGGGAACTCAGGCAGAGGTCCTGTGACTCCAGTGACATACTGAGGCTGAGGGAATATGCCACAACATTACCTTCACATCCTGTGCTCTCTCCCAAAGTAGAGGGAAACCACAGACACCCACCCTCTATAGCCCTCCCCATTGTGGCTCTTAAGGACTTTCCCAAGTACCCCCCAAAAAGTGACCCCCCCACACACACAAAGTCAGCAAAGAGCCAAGCACAGAAAGCCTCAGTAACTCTTCTTGGTGGAACCAAAGCCAGAGAAGCCCATCACAGCTGCCATCTCATCATCCTCCTCAAATGTCAAGTCCTCCTCAGCCCTCCTTTTCTTCTCCTTCTGTTTCTCTTTCTTGTAGGCTTTGGCCTTTTCCTCCTAGGGGGGAAATCACTCAGAATCAGTTCAGACTCCTGAGCCAAACGTTGCAAGAGACAAGTGAATGTCAAGATTCCTTTCTATCTTTAGGAGAAAATAGTTAAAGGCAAGTAAAATTTCAAGAGCAGAGGAAAAGCCACAGTAAAGATTTTAAGGAACGAAAAAGAGCAGTTTTAGCCTGTGAAGAGCACTTCTCAATCCTACATCCCAGTTCATCTCTAGTTCTTAAAAAGGTTATGGAAGGAAAACCACATAATAGCAACTATCACCCTGGGGCACAAAGCATATGCCAGTAATTGATCTAAACACTTTCTGTAGATTATAAACTGAGATCTCTGATGGGAAAACTGAGGCATGGAGAGGTTAAATAACTTGCCCAAAAGTCATAGCCAGTAAGTGAAGGAAACAGAATTCTGACCCAGGCAGCCTGGTTCCATGAGTCTCTTGGGGATTAGGTAGATTTAATCCCTCCTATAGTTTAAAAAAAAAAAAAAAAAAAAAAAAAGTGGGCCCAGACAGTCCAGGAAAAAAAAAGGATAGGTTTATAGCCATATCCTTCAGATCTCAAGAGTCCCAAACAAAGATAATAAATGTTTCCCCCAATATAGTGAAATTCAGGATACATCTATCCTCTGAGGGTGGGAGTGGAACAAAGAAGAGAGCCTCCTCATGATTCATAATATAAAATTCAAAGCTGGTGGACAAAAGAGGGAAGGCTAGCAGAGCCTTACCTCTTCTCTGAGCTCTTTCATTCTTTCCTCAAAATCGTAATCTTTCTGTTTCTCTTCCATCTTCTTCTTGTTGACTTCAAAACGTTTCTTCACCTGATCCAAGGTGGAACGTTCCACACGCATAGACATGCCCAGATTTCGCTGATCTGGGTGGGAACAACAGAGAAAAAGGTAATGGCATTACGATAACCTCAGCCCCTCAGAAAGTCTTTGACATTTAAAAAAGTCTCATAAAATGCACATCAAAAATAATTATGACTGGAAAAAAACTCCCTTGGTTTTACTTATTCTAAGAAGCAGCAGCTACAGACAGCAAGATCCCAGTGACTTTCAACTGCCCTTTCTGAGCAAATGCACACTAGTCAGGACAGCTAGGCCTTGGAGAAGAGCACTGTCTGGGCTTGTTGGGAGCCTAGAACAGTGTCTCATCTCAGGGCCTCCAAAAACATTAGATAATGAAGTAAAGCATGCCCTGTACTGAAGCCACTGAAGAAATTATCGGGCATTAAAGAAAGATCCAATTGAAACCACCCTTTCTCCTACCCCACCTCCAAAATCCAGTCCCAGCTCCAGTCACAAACTACCTCCAAACCTTACGTTTCTTTCCATTAATGTGATCCAGGAAGTTGATAGAGTCCTTCACCACACAGTCACAGACATTACAGTAATACCTAGCAAACAGAAGAAACAGCATTTGTGTCAAATCTAGCTATAAGAGCTTAATGTTTTCAACCAACAAACTCATATATTTAGGTAAATTTCCTTTTTACAAGAAGAGGACACTTCTCATTTTCATAAAGTATTACCTCTTGAAGCGTATGGTAGCCAGCCTCCAAGACGGGCCCCACAACGATCCCTAAATTCCTGGTATTTGTACCTTGGGACGTCCCTTCCCAATTTGTACTAGGGTTCATTAGTGACCAAATGAATACTTCATGGTGCCTAGCAGCTCAGTCAGTTAAGCGTCTACCTTCGGCTCAGGTCATGACCTCAGGGTCCTGGGACTGAGCCCTGTGTCTGGCTCCCTACTCAGCAGGGAGTTCGCGTCTCCCTCTGCCTGCTCCTGCTCTCTCTCTCAAATAAATAAGTAAAATATTAAAAGTTCAAAAGTGATGCTATACCACTTCCAAGATTAGGTTACATTAAAAAAAAAAGTGGCTTCAGTATTAGTCTATGTCTTATTCTGGGGAAGCAATTACTTTATTGTGAGCAGCACTGTGGAGAGGCCTCCAAAGCACTGTCACACGAAAGAGATTTGAATCAAATCAATCAGGCCCACTTATGCCTCAAATGAATGCAGACCTAGCAGACACCTTCAATGAAGCCTTGTGAAAACCTAAGCCAGAATCAGAGTTAAGTCTTTCCCAGATTACTTCCCACAGAAATTGTGAGCTACCTGCTGTTTTATGCTGCTTAATTTTGGGTGAACTTGTTATTTTACACAGCAATAGATAACTAATACAGAGAGAAATGACATGAATGGGTTTCCTAGGCAACCCAAAGACATGTCACTCACTGCTATTTTTGCCCTCCTGCTAGAAAACCGAAATGAACAGACAAACAGTGGTGGGTAAAAGACTAAAGTTCTTGCAGGACACTTCTTTCCATGGGTTATAGTCTTGGTTTAGGAGGAAGGTGTACAATCAAGCAATCCATAACAACTACAAAATACTTTGCAGACAGTCTGGAACCTCAACTCCCTTTATTCACCATCAAAAGCTCCTAGGCTTCACTCTAGCTCTATCTAATCTCTCCCCTAGAAATGTCTTCAATAGTCCTTTCCTTCATTTTTTCCTTTTAAGATATGAAGTAGTAGTTACAGCGCTAATATGAAGAGGCCTACAGAGTGGTCTCTGCCTACAGACACTGGTATGTTTGTTGAGGCTTTGGTGGGGGAGAAAGAAAAATCTAATGGTAGAATTATAGGTAACATGGTTGTTTTCCTGGGGCCAGAAAACCTCCTCAACACTTGCTAAAACCAACATAGACAGTTTATTTGACCTATTTCTGGCTCCTGAGAAAGATGAAAAGTCACTCACCCTCCCATCTCAGATTGCGGCGTGGTCTTGGTAATGACAATTGTCTTTCCAAGCTTGGATTCCAGGTCCACCTTATAGTCTCTATGTCGGAGAAGCTCCCGTTTGACTGGCTGCACTGGTTTTCCTAAAATTATTATAATAGAGAAAGAAGTCCCTTTAGTATTACAGTTCCTTAAGCAGAAAGGAAAAAAAAAATGCATGCAACCCAAAATACAGATGTCTACTCTCATTTCTTTCTTGAGCCTGAACCAAGGGAACAGTGAGAACTTCTAGCAGCAGCTAGTGAAAATCTCAATAAAGGAAAAATGAAAAGCAATCCCTAAGCTCTCCAGACTGTTTATCACTTTAAAACCAATAAGTCTAAGGGCACCTGGATGGCTCAGTGGGTTAAGCCTCTGCCTTAGGCTCAGGTCATCATCTCAGGGTCCTGGGATCCAGCCCCACAACAGGCTCTCTGCACGGCAGGGAGCCTGCTTCCACCCCCCCCTCCCCACTCTGCCTGCCTCTCTGCCTACTTGTGATATCTGTTTGTCAGATAAATAAATAAAATCTTAAAAAAATTTTTAAAAATAAAAACCAACAAGTCTAAAAGCAAAGTTTATTTATTGATTAACTGAAGGGGGTTCTTAATTTTCACAAAAAGCAAACTTTTAAAAGAAAAGCAAGGAGGGGCACCTGAGTGGCTCAGCTGGTTAAGCATCTGCCTTCAGTTCATTTCAGGTCATGATCCCAGAGTTCTAGGATCAAGTCCCGCATGGGGCTCCCTCCTCAGCGGGAAGTCTTATTCTCCCTCTGCCCCTCACCCTGCTGTGCTCTCACTCTCAAATAAATAAAATCTTAAAAGAAAAAAAAAAAAAGATTAAAAAAATTAAAGAAAAGCAAGGATAGTCAGTAACACTTTCAGATAGATATCCCAAGCACAACACAAAAGTAATCTTTAGAAGACTGGGGAAAAATTTTTTAAAGGGGACCAACATTCAGGAAATACCTGTTACATACTTGGCACTACTGTACAAATTATATCAAAACTAAAAGGATTAGTGTGTGCAAGGTGGTGTGGAAGTGAAGTGAAAGAAGAATGCATATGTTTGAATACAGATGAAAAAAATAATATTTCTTTTTGTATAGTGGAATCTCTACCTAGGAAAGAAGAACCAACTCCCTGACACTGTACAAAACATAGGGAACAGTACCACTAACCACCAGCTGAAACAATCACACGGTCCTTGGTGAGTACCCTTGCTCTTCTCAGGTTATAGGGAGGGGAAGGTCCTGATTGTTATGTTCTTCTTCCCCTTAAGTGACTTCAAGTGAAATAGTATTTTCAGTAGCAGTAATGCACAGCTGCGAAACAGTCATTTCTCTACTAAGGATTCTACTCTCCTCTCCATACTTGAGGAAAGGAGGAAATGAGCTAAGCAAAAGGACGACAAAGAAAGCAGAGGAAACAGAGCTAGAAAACACCGCAACACTGCTTCAGTCTATTTCCTCGCTCTCATTTTCTACATTAAGAAATCCAGAACCAGGGAGGCAACACTGTGCCAGAGAATACACAGGGTATGAGGACATCGCATTTCAACTTCCCACCCGTTCTCCAGCTATGGCTTCGCTTCTACGATACCCACGGCCCTTGATGGAGCAGGCACCCACCATCCTTCTTTTCTCTCTCTTCCGTGAGCCTCTTCTCGGCGAGTTTCTCATATTCATCTTTGTCCCACTTTCGGCGAAAGTCCAAGTTTTTTGTCTGTAAGGAAAAAAGCGCTCAAGATTCGCTGCTAATCATATCCGACCCCTAGAGAAACGGAGGGAACCGCGTCCACGCTGGCAAGGCGTCCCCGGGACCTGTAGAGAGCGAAGACTCTCCGGACCGCACCAGGAGGCTGAGGTGGCCTCAAGACCCCAACCCAAAAGACCGCCGGGAGTCCATAGACCCTGCGCCAGGACCCCACAGGGAAATTCTTGAACCCGGGACACTGGACCGCAAGAAGCTGTTGAGAAGCCAGTCGGGTCAGGATATTCCGCGCTGAGAAACCACCCTCTGCCCCCAAACCAAAGCCTCTGCACACACAACACCTACCCCGCTACCCGACGCCATCTTCACTGCGAAGTGAATGGGAAGCCGGAAAATGACGTAAAAAGCGGCCCTGAGCCGTAAAGCGAGCTTGCCCTCCAATAAAGTTAGAGTCTCGCGTTCCAAACGAGCTAAGGACTGGAGGGCTTCTAAAACAAGCTTGTAGGCCCCGCCTCTGCACCGAGGAAATGGCGCATGCGCATGGAGAATGTGAAGCAACACGGAAGTAAGGGCGCCTACAAATGTTTTCGCCTTGGCTTTCTAAACAAGCATCATCAAAGGACTGATTCAGTTCAACTCGTCTATTTTACAAAGAACGAAACGGTTCATATCGGTGCCCTTTGATCTAGTCTAATCAATTTTGCGTGCGTTTGCCAAGAGTTTCTAAAATTTTTTAGGGTCGAGTGGGTTATCAGGAGCCTGCAGCTGCCCCATTTACCTGTATGCACTAAAGATATGGCCCCGACACCAGTGTTTTTAAAAGTTGCAGCCTCCCCAGCGCATATACAGAAAGCATTTTTTGCACACTGTCTCTTTATTTTTGAAGCAATGTTATCACCCTTCGGTTAACTCATCTTTCCTTCTGGGGGGAACTTTATAGTCATTCAATCTATAGGGCACAATTTAGTCAACATGATTGGACTGGAAAGGCCAGTCATCAGCCTACAGTCATCAGCCGTAGGGTGACGAACTCTGGCAGACAGTTCACTATATGTTGATTTAGACATGACTGTGTCTCCAAGTTGGGGAGGAAGGGACAGTGGGGAGCACTGGGGAACTGTGACTGCTCCCTTCACTTAATACAGAAGTTTCACCCCGGAGGTTGCTCCTAGCTCTCAGAATTCTCCAGTGTACACTCCAGTATTTTCTACAGCCAATGCAAAACAATCTCCTGATAACAAATCATCCAAACTACTACATTTAATATTTTATTTAATGTATTATCCAATCACTTCTAGAACAGCCACCTCCATAGGAGAACATAGAATATAGTCAAGGAATAATTCTGGCACAGGAAATGATCTCCAAAATCTCAAAAGATTAGACCATTTTGTCAGTCACCTATTGAATTCAACATTCAAGATTACTATAAAGACAGCCTCACTCTATTAAGAGTGGATGGACTAGACAGATTACATGTCAAAATGAGCACTGCTATACCCTTAGGACAGCATCTTTGTCCTCAAACAAAGGAGAAAGCAGCCATTTGCCCCTTCCTTGCTGTCTCCCAAAACTCCCTGGACAAGCCAAGGGCAGGTTGTGGACAAATTTCCCCAAATGTGGTCAGAAGCCATAGTGGAAAATTAAGTATCTGACTTCTGATCTCAATGGTCTCGGCCTGAGGCAACTTTCCTAGAGCCTTGCTCAAAGCAACCATCTCAGCACCTCTTGGCAGCATTCAATGGCACTTCAAATCTGCCATCTGTCTCTGCAGTTAGAGCATGCCTCTTCCACATACCAGCCATCTGCACCCATGCAGAATAGCTGCTCACACTAGCCCAGGAATCCTCAGGACCTCCTACAGTTCTGTACCCAGAAAGGATGGAGGAGGCAGAGGAACTTGTCACTCATCCTGGCCAGCAGTTGTGAAGTCCATCAGGAACTCAGTCCTAGAAGAAACACCTTCTAGAAAGAGCAGTAGATGGCAAGCAGGCAAGGATTAAGACTCAGATAGTCTCTTCTGAATTTCAGCCACAAGATTTTCCCGTTTAATGGCCACCTGTAATGTAAGAGAACCTTCATGTGACAAACTACAGACAGTAATACTAGCTTCTTAGTCACTGCATTTCCAAATTCATTTTATCCTGCATCTGTTCCCACTACTTATTTAACCAGTAGGAAGAAGCGTGGGCTTCAAGCTGAACTAGAGAATGTATGCACTTAAGACTAAAGAGATTCAGAGGTGCCTGGATGGCTCAGTGGGTTAAAGCCTCTGCCTTCGGCTCAGGTCATGATCTCAGGGTCCTGGAATCGAGCCCCACATCAGGTTCTCTGCTCAGTGGGGAGCTGCTTTCCCCTCTCTCTCTCCGCCTGCCTCTCTTCCTACTTGTGATTTCTCTCTCCGTCAAAATATAAATAAAATCTTAAAAAAAAAAAAAATCCATCTGTCCTTCTGCCCACCTACCTAACCCTAACTGGCTAAAGGATTGCCTGCGTGGCTCTTCATTCATCTCTATCACTATTAACCCTGAAGATATTTCCTCAGCCATAAGATACATATTTCTTAAAGAATCTAAGGTAAAGGGGCACCTGGGTGGCTCAGTGGGTTAAGCCTCTGCCTTCAGCTCAGGTCATGATCTCAGGGTCCTGGGATCGAGTCCCGCATTGGGCTCTCTGCTCGGCAGGAAGCCTGCTTCCTCCTCTCTCTCTCTCTCTCTCTCTGTGTGTGCCTCTCTGCCTACTTGTGGTCTCTCTCTCTCTCTCTCTGTCAAATAAATAAATAAATAATCTAAAAAAAAAAAGAATCTAAGGTAAAAACACTTGGTTCCTTCTATTCCCCCACTCACCTCCTCCCTGCTGACCACTGAACGAAGCTTGATTACGCCTTCTTTCAGTTCTTGCTCACCAATAATGACCACCAATGGAATGCCCATGTGCTCACAGTAGTGCAGTTGAGTTAGTAGTTTCGGGTTGTTCTTATACAGCAGCTCTGCCTGGAAAGGATGAAGACAGAATAAGAGGCTTAAAAGTGACCACACTCCTCAAGCATTTACAAAGAAGTAAGGAGCTAGCTCTCCTACCAGAAGACACTTTAGTGAAGAGTAGGAAGGTTTTGAGTTCCGCCTTGGGCATTAGGTAGAAATGGCCACCTGAATGGCCACACATACCCAGATGACTTGGATATCAGTTCTACTATACCTTGATCCCAGCATCCCAAAGCTCTGAAATTAGCTTCAACCGTTCATGAAGAAAGTTCTTCTGTGGTGTAGCCACAAACACTTGGGTCTCTGTGGTCCGTATCTTCTGACCAGAAGTCTGATTAAAGAGAGAGAAGAAAGTAAAACTAATAAACAACCTCCTGTGCATCAATAATTAAAAAAAAAAAAAAAGACATAAAGAATCATCAGAAAACAGTCCAACTGTATATCCACAAACATGAGTTTTTAGTCTCCAGCTCCACTCCACCCCTACCTAGGACCTACCTTTATCCTCTGTTCCAAAATGGCGAAGATTCGCTCCACCCCAATACTGAGCCCCACACACGGCACTCTGTGGCCCTTGGGGTCAAACATGCCCACCAACCCATCATAGCGTCCACCAGCAGCCACACTGCCCACATTGAGGGACTCCTCAGCCTGAGCTGGGGTCTGTAGTAGCACTGCTTCATAGATCACTCCAGTATAGTAGTCCAGTCCCCGAGCTAGGCTTAGGTCAAAAGAGATCTGTGAGAACAAGACTATAGTAAGTCCAAAAAAGATTCAGAACACTAAGAACCCCAAAGTTCACCAGGAAGTCCTCTCCCAATTCAGCTTACCTTCTCAGGAATTCCAAATAAAGTCAGGTATTCAAATAGCAGCTTCAAGTCCCCCAAGCCCTCTAGGGCCTGCTTGTTCTGGGATAGTCTAGAATCCTGGAACATTTCCTCTATTAAGGATACCCCACCTGGGGAGACATATGGGGAGAAATAAGGTCTGTGCTTTCACCCAGATGTGTTTTACCTAAATTTATTCTTAATATGCTCCAGCTAATCCTCACTTTCTTATTAAAAAAAAAAAAAAAAATCCTGGGGCACCTGGGTGGCTCAGTGGGTTAAGCCTCTGCCTTTGGCTCAGGTCATGATCTCAGGGTCTGGGATTGAGCCCCGCATCAGGCTCTCTGCTCAGCAAGGAGCCTGCTTCCCCCTCTCTCTGCCTGCCTCTCTGCCTACTTGTGATCTCTCTCTCTCTCTGTCAAATAAATAAACAAAATCTTTAAAAATAGAGTCATTAAAAAAAAAAGTCCTGATCTCTTATGACCAGACTCTCCTCCTCTGCCTTTGCCATCTGAAGACATAAACTGGTTATTACACTAAGTAAAAGGGAAATTAAATTCAGGCCAGACTCTGGCACTTAGCTTATCTTTGGAAAGGAGCTGTTTCAGGGGCACCTAGGTGGCTCAGTGGGTTAAGCCTCTGCCTTCGGGTCAGGTCATGATCTCAGGGTCCTGGGATCGAGCCCCACATTGGGCTCTCTGCTCGGCAGACAGTCTACTTCCCCCTCTCTCTCTGCCTGCCTCTTTGCCTACCTCTCTGCCTACTTGTGATTTCTCTCTCCATCAAATAAATAAATAAAATCTTAAAAAAAAGAAAGAAAGAAAGAAAGGAGCTGTTTCAGGATAGGAGTTGTACATACCTCCCCCTCAGTTCGATCAATAGCTCTGAAAACGCTGGTTCTTACCATGACATTGAACATAGTCACCAATTCTATCAGCCACTTCAGGAGCCAGGCCTTTCTTTGCCACCATCTCATGTCTTACATCATTCCACGATATCTGCACAAATACCCAAACATTAGCCCACTTCCAAGATCCTTCTTCATCTAACTGGAAATGTCACGACTAGCTAACACTATACTCAACAAAGTCGGAGACAACTTAGAAAATGCAGTCAGTCAACAAAGCTTTTGCACAACAAAGTTCAGGTCTTGCTTCAGAATATCTCCTTACCTTCCCCAGAGAAAGCTCATTTCCAGTTACTGTCTCCTTATTTTTTTCTAGGGGTACAGATTTGAGGGCAGGGCAGAGATTCTGATATGGTCTACTGAAGCATGTCTTTTTATTTACCTTGTCTAGTTTGTCTATTGAGGAGCAGATGGCATGGAACTTGCTTTCAGGAACACCACAGACAGCCAACATCCCATCCAAAATCCGCCGATCATTGACCTGTGAACTCAGTGGAAATAACCCCAGTGCCTTCTCCATGCCCTTTCCCTCAAAACAAGGGCAGTCCCTGTTAGCCTGTCTCATAAAAAGGACAGAAAACAATTTCCACAGCATCACTATATAGATGAAATACAACAGCTGTACTGAGAAAGTCCTAGGTCTACAGGCTTAAGGGCTGGAGTCACCTATGTTTTAGGAGGGCACCCAGATCAAATCCAGACTTCTCCCCTCAGTCCTCAGCCCTAGTCTTACCTTAATGAGAAAGTCCCCCAACTGCAACCCACTTAGGATTTCACACATAATCTTTAAGCACTCTGCATCGGGGATCATAGGGTCAAACTGACCAGCAATGTCAAAATCCTGCAGCAAAGAAAAAGGGGAAAAACAAAATCTTCACTGAGCAGCCAATTCCCAGGTTGCAGATCCCCAAACCTGTATCAATGCTGGTCACTTACACACTGGCAGAACTCCCTGTAGCGGCCTTGGACTATGGTTGGGCTCTCTCGCCGCCACACCTTTCCAACATGGTAGCGTTTCATCCTCTTCACTTTATTCATAGCGAGATAACGAGCAAAAGGAACCTCACATAAAGAGGTTAAGGAGAAAGCATACTGCCTCCAAAGCTTGGGCCCAGTGTACAGACATTTGGGAGAACTGGGCCATTACCAATTGGATCTCATCCACTAGGATGAAAACAAGGATGTTCTGTCTTGTTTCCCACTATCCCCAAGGTCTAGCAGTGCTTGACATTCAATATATATAAATGAATGAAGGAACCCCATCAAGCAAAAGTGCAAGTTCAGTAAAAAAGCGGAAGAAATTGACCTGCTGCCCACTGAATGAGATAGAAATGACCCAAGAACTCCAAGTATGGGCTATTCCTTCCCATTCAGATCAATTTTCAACCATTTCAAAATAGTCAAGTTTCAGAACCTGGATTTGCCTGCAACTTCTATGTCAATTTTTTTTTTCCTCTTCTCTTTCTTTCTTTTTTTTAATGCCAACGTTTCTTAAAGTATAGGTTGAGAACCACCCACCTCTTCATGACCCCAGTGCCTGTTTAAAATACAGATTGTTAGATTGCAGAATTAATATCTGGGGATAAGGGCCAGAAATCTGTATTTCTGCAATCTTCCTCAAGGGAGTCTGATACACAATAAAAGTTAAATTAATGTTTCAGGCCAGGCTCTGCTGGCAGAATTGCCTTCTGGGAAAAACTGGAAGTAAAGGCTGATGCAAACAGACCTATGGGATCCCAGAGGCACTGCTGTCCCTTTTGTCAAAGAAAACCCTCTGGGTTTGGAAAGAGATGTCAGTCTCCTAACACTCAGAAAGATACAGTAAGGTCATAGCGCAGGGACAACAGCTCTCCACCTTGATCCTTCAGATCATAGATTAGCCCAGAGTCCTCTCCATACTTCTCAGTGAGCATTTCCTGCAGGGATCAAACAAAAACCACCACAGTTCAAAGGAGGACTCCAGAACACAGGCTAAAAGCTCTTTGGGAAACTGAAGGCAAGTAAAGAAATGGAGTTCCAGCACTCTCTTTTCTCTTCTTACCTTAAGTTCAAATGCTGGAGTATCTAATCTCTTTGCTCCGTGACGTTTAAAGCAGCCAACAACCATATCAAGAATTTTCTCCCTTATAACCATCTGCTGGGGACTAAGATCTCTGGTGCCCTAGAAACCAAAAGTAGTCATGGTGAAAACACAGACAAAAAGCAAGATCATTTAAGACAAAGGGTTAAACAACATCTGTAATTGAAAGTCGGAAGTTGAAATCTCTTTGAGTTCAGTTGACTGAGCCTGATCAGTATCTCTAGAATAGTGACTTTTTAAAAACTAATCTTAAAAGACATTAAGATGGATTAGGAAGAGACAAGCAGAGCAGAGGGCAGTCCTCCAAGGCACTCTAATAGGACAGGGTGGGGTAAAGGGCATTACCTTTGGTGTCTTAATAATAAAATTTGATTTTTCTTGATGTGGTTTCAGTTGGGACGTTAACACTGCCTCTGAAACCTGGCAGAAAATAGAATGTGAGATGTGAGCCACAAGACTGGCCAGACCTCGGACATCTCTCGCCCTATGGCCAGACCTGAAAAGACCTCTGGTCTTGAGCAACAGACAACCTGAACACTGTTTTATCCATTTCAGTCTCCGCCTCCCTCCAAAACATGCATCATATTTGCAGTATATACTTAATACACATAAGATAACATCTTTATCATATTTGGAGGGTTTTTTTAAAAGATTTTTTTTATTTATTCATTTGACAGACAGAGATCACAAGTAGGCAGAGACACAGGCAGAGAGAGAGAGAGAGGAAAGCAGGCTCCCTGCCAAGCAGAGAGCCTGATGTGGGGCTCGATCCCAGGACCCTGAGGTCATGACCTGAGCCGAAGGCAGAGGCTTAACCCACTGAGCCACCCAGGTGCCCCAATATTTGGAGTTTTTAAATGTATACCCTGTATTTGGACTTTTTAAATGTCTGGAAAAGCTTAAGCACCCAAGAACAATGAAGGCACAGAACAACCTACCACTACTGCCACCAACCATCTGGGAGTAGGGATTAGTATGATATCCAATTCTTAGTTCCAACTCAAAGAGCAAACACATGAACATGAATTTTTAATACAGAAGCAATGGTCATTAGGCTTAGAGACATGGAAAAAGTAACCTAAAGACAGAAGGGAACGCACAACATGCCTGGTTGAGGAGAGAATAGGAATGGATATCCAAACTGAACTAAAAAAATCAGACTGGTAGGATGCTGTAACTGAAAATTAGTAACAAAAGATCTGAACCCTGCTGTTCAGGATAGCACAAAGGATCTGCTAGGGTCTTTATCAAAGTAAAACTGAATTGGTAATTTTGTTTATTAGGAGCAGGCTGTATGCCCTTCCAGAAATATAGAGTGTGGTAGTTCCTTATTTTGGCGGATTGTCTCCTCCAAAGGATGGCAGTTCAAGTCCACAGCCCTTCCTCTGCAATTCCAAAATCCCCAAATTTCTAAAAACCGCAAAGTGGTTTGTTTTGGTGTTTCTTTTTTTGGGGGGGGAAGCTTATTTTGAGGTAAACTCTAATGTGAACTCAGTCTACCTGTGGTCTTCAGTCACCTCACTTAATGGGACTATTTATATACTTTTCTTAAGAATGTGTTTAACTCCAAGAGGTTCACATTAGGGATTGCTGGACCTATGTTAAAAATGCTCCCTTACTATGTATCCGTAGATAAGTCATTTAACCTTGCAGACTGTTTCCTCAACAGTAAAATGGAAATAATCCCAACTTCTCAAGATTGCTATGAGGATTAAATGACAAAGCATCTAAAATGCTTAGTTCAGTACCGGTAAACTACTCAAAAAAACCCGACTGTACTACTGGACTGCCCGCTGCGAGTCCATGCTTTCAGACCTGGATATCCTGCCGCAACAGACCACTCAGTCTGGCTCACCTGACTATGAAAATGTACCTCCCTGATGCACACAAGACCGGACGGTCGCAGGAGCTGGCTAAACAGTGAAGCCCAGGCCCTCCTGTGCCGGAGTCCGAACGAGGGCATCGTGTAACAGGAGGCCGTCTTTCCGAGACAGGAGCCAAAGGACCTGGGAACGAGGCAGGTCGGACCCCACCCCAGTGAGGGTGCAGACCGCTGTAGAGGTTAGCCGTAGCACCGGCGAAAAAGCGATCACTTCCGCATCTTCCAAAGACTGAAAGGCTGCTCTAGACCTCACGGGTTCCTTTTCAGCTTCAACACTTCCGGTAGTAGCCGGAAGTGGTTGTTGCGTTCGGCGGAGGCTCTCTAGGCGTACGGGCCAGTGACTCGATAGCCGGAAGCTGTCCGTGCTGAGGCTGCGGTAACGAAGGCCGATCTAGACAGCGTTCAGTGCCGGTTGACCGCAGTATGGCAGAACGTGCAGCACTGGAGGAGCTAGTGCGACTTCAGGGAGAGCGCGTGCGGGGCCTCAAGCAGCAGAAGGCCAGCGCTGAGCAGGTGCGACCCAGGTGGCAGGGGAGAGGCCAAAGTTAGGGCCAGGAAGGACATAGAGCTGGGTGGTCTGCATAGAAGAGAGATGTGGGAAAGGGGACCGGGCGGGGAAGGGAGAAGCAGGGCCTGGTTGAGGAGGTGGGCGGGGTAGGACCCGAGAGAAGCAAAGCTGGGCCTGGGGAGAGAAATGTGCCTCAAATTCTGATGAGGGAGGGATACTGAATGAATGGCCGAGGAGAGGAGGGAGTGACAGACGTGATAGCTCAGCACCTACTTTACGTCCACAGATCGAGGAGGAGGTGGCAAAACTACTGAAACTGAAGGCGCAGCTGGGCCCTGATGAAGGGAAACAGAAGTTTGTGCTCAAAACCCCCAAGGTAAATATAATTCCTTTAAGGAGAAAGCCCCTAATCCCACTCCCAAGGGTGGATGCCCCTGCTTCCTTGAACAGTTGTTCTGGGAGCTGGGCTGAATTGGAGTCTGAGTCATTCTGGGATAGCAAAGTGATGGCAGAAACTAGACCAGCTGGGTGCTTAGGGGAGTATGCCAGCTACTGCTACTCCTTCTTTCATTAAGTAAATATTTACTGAGTGTTTCCTAAGTGCCTAGCACCATAGTATGTGAGTATGCCATGGTGAACAATATAGCCTACCCTCATGGAGCTTACATTCTACTGAAGGAAACAGATTTAGGACAGATAATCCCACTCTTGAATATGTAATTATAAATTGTGATAAATGATATAAAGGAATGATAAGCATTCTCTGAGACAAATAAGAACTAGAGCGTCTGAAAAAGCCTCACAGAAGTGATATACTAACTGACTGAGATGAATGGGAGGTAGCCAGGGGGAGAGCATGAGGAAGATAGGTTCGGGTACAGTATGGAAATCCTGAAGGAGAAAAGAACGCTGGTGGTTTCCAGGGACTAGAAAAAGACTTGATTAGTAGACCCAAATATACAGGAGAGTAGAGTGGAATGGAAATCCGTTGGAGATTACTAGCGTGGTCTCCTCCTGGAGAGGAGGAGTTCAGATGTCATTCTTTGTATGTTCTATAAGCAGAACTATTTACCATTTCATCTAGGTTCCCTTGGCACTTCATATATATATATATATCTACTATTGTATTTCTTGGTGACTTTTATAACATAGTTTATTTACCCTGAGAGGCTGAGACTGGTGTCTGGAACTGAACAGATAATTCAGTAAATGTGTGTGAAATTGGACTTCAAAGGAGAGGGGTCTTCCTTGTGTTAAGGTGTCACCTTTTTAGGTTCATTCTTTGGGCTCCTAAATTAATTGAGCTATTCCTTTCTACACACAACTAATTTCAGAGGTGAAAGAGACAATGTAAAATTACAAAGCAAAGATTATCAATAGTTTTTCAAACTCTTTACTGAAAAATTAATGGTGAATTTGTGACAGATCAGGCTGGCCTTACTAAACCCAAGGATCAATCTTAACATCACTAAAAGTAGGACATCCAGACATTATGTTTCTTCTGACGTGATGCAATTAGAAGTACACAGCACCACCTATGAAATATTCTTGCCGGGGTGCCTGGGTGGCTCAGTGGGTTAAAGCCTCTGCTTTCGGCTCAGGTCATGATCCCAGGGTCCTGGGATCGAGCCCCACATCGGGCTCTCTGCTCAGCAGGGAGCCTGCTTCCCTTCCTCTCTCTCTGCCTGCTTCTCTGCCTACTTGTGATCTCTGTCTGTCAAATAAATAAATAAAATCTTTAAATATATATATATATTCTTGCCAAGAAAAATTGAACCTGAATCTAATCAGGCCTTTTGACCTACCAGTTTATCAGAAATATGGGAGATGGAGGAATGTATTAAATGACACATTGTATACACTGTTAATGAAATCCAGAATATGAAAAGTTCCTTAGGACAAATTATTCAATTTTCTTAACAAATAAATGACATTTTTTAAAAAAGGAAAGGAAACTGTTGTGGATTAAACAGATAAGAGACAAACAAATACAGTGCATGGGCTTCATTTAGAATCTAATTCAGGGGCGCCTGGGTGGCTCAGTGGGTTAAAGCCTCTGCCTTCGGCTCGGGTCATGATCTCAGGGTCCTGGGATCGAGCCCCGCATCGGGCTCTCTGCTCAGCGGGGAGCCTGCTTCCCCCTCTCTCTCTGCCTGCCTCTCTGCCTACTTGTGATCTCTGTCTGTCAAACAAATAAATAAAATCTTTAAAAAAAAGAATCTAATTCAAACAAGTCCATCCTAAAAAAGTATTCTTGAGGCAACTGGGGAAAATTAAACACGGCTTGGTTATTAGATGATATGAAAGGGCTGCTGTTTGTTTTGTTGGTTGTAATAAAGGAATTTTAGTGTTTTGGGTTTTTTTTAAACCTCCTGCTTTAGCGAATGACAAATATTTAGGGACAAACTGATAGGATGTCTGGATTTACTCTAAAATATGCCAGGAAAGGGGCGCCTGGGTGACTCAGTCGGTTAAGCCGCTGCCTTCCCCCCAGGTCATGATCCCAGGATCCTGGGATCGAGCCCCGCATCAGGCTCCTTACTCAGCAGGGAGCCTGCTTCTCTCTCTGCCTCTTCGCACCACTCTGCCTGCTTGTGCTCTCTCTCTCTCTCTCTGATAAATAAATAAACAAACAAACAAATAAATAAGTTCTTTAAAAAATAAAATACTCCAGAAAAGAAAAGTTGGACCTTAGATAACGTAAAAATAACAGACACTGATGGTTATCGAAACTGGGTGATAGATAACATGGTGATGTATGATACTCTTCTCTATAATGTGTGTTTGAAAATTTCTATACTATTTTATTTATTAAGATTTTTATTTATTTATTTGACAGACAGAGCCTGATGCGGGGCTTGATCCCAGGACCTTGGGATCATGACCTGAGCTGAAGGCAGAGGCTTTAACCCACTGAGCCACCCAGGCACCCCTATACTATTTTAAAAGAAAGTGAGATTATACTGGAGAGTTAGTTTCCACTTTAGTTTGTTGAAATGCGTCTCTTCTTTTCTTTTTTTTTTTTTTTTTTTTTTTTTTTTTTAAAGATTTTATTTATTTGACAGAGAGAGATCACAAGTAGAGAGGCAGGCAGAGAGAGAGAGAGAGAGAGAGAGAGGGAAGCAGGCTCCCTGCTGAGCAGAGAGCCCGATGCGGGACTCGATCCCAGGACCCTGAGATCATGACCTGAGCCGAAGGCAGCGGCTTAACCCACTGAGCCACCCAGGCGCCCTGAAATGCGTCTCTTGATGTGTGATTTATATTAACAGAAAACCCAGTATCATGGGGTAGGACTCTTCCAAGAGGTTTTTGTGGTCAAAATTATTTTTATGATTATACTGACATGTATTTGCCTTTGTGACCACATTTGTTAATGAAAATGCAAAAGCACTGGTGAGTAGAACTGCTGGTGTCTTAGCATGAAATATGACAGCAGCCCTACACTATTCAAATAGCCATCATGTTCTTTATTTTCCTGCATTCATAATTTTTAAAAAAATCAGTTTTGCTTATGAATGTCCTTGATAACAGTAAAATTTGCTCATTTTATTGAATCTCAACCCTTGAGTACTCTCTTTTTTAGTATTCTGTGTGATGAAATGGCAAGAATACAGAAAGCACTTCTGCTGCATTCCAGAGCAGGAAAAACACTTGTGCTATTGCATGAGTTTAAGCTACCTAGCTACTGTTTTCACAGAACATCTTTTTTTTTTTTTTAAGATTTTATTTATTTATTTGACAGACAGAGATCACAAGTAGGCAGAGAGACAGGCAGAGAGAGAGGAGGAAGCAGGCTCCCTGCCGAGCAGAGAGCCCAATGCTCGGCTCAGTCCCAGGACCCTGAGATCTTGACCCGAGCCAAAAGCAGAGGCTTTAACCCACTGAGCCACCCAGGTGCCCCAGAACATCTTTTTTATTTGAAAGAAAAACTGAAAGACGAACTGCTGTTTTAAAGATTTGGATAATGAATGAAGTGAGCTTTGTCACCTCAAGGACAACATCTGACAATATTTTTTGCCATTGACAAAATTCAAGCATTCAGGTGAAAGTTAGGATTTTAGGGAACTTCTATCTTTCCCCATCATGTAGACAGCTTCCCAATCTAGTAGTGAAAGACTTTCCCAATGAGATCTGTGTTGATATTAACAAAGGTGTTTTCTAATATAGTGAAGTGTGTAAATATTTAGAAGATCTGTATAATTTATCAATGACCCAGTGTTTTCCACATGACTGATGTATAATGGTATAAAATAATACATGGGTAAAAGATTCAGAGTACAAGATGGAGTAATCAATATCTTTAAAATTATGGTAAAATATATGTGACATGAAATTTGCCATTTTAACCATTTTCTAAAGATTTTATCTGTTTATTTGAGAGAGAGAGAGCACTGGGAGGAGGGGTGGGCAGAGAGGGAGAGGCAGATGCTTAACTAATTGAGCCACCCAGTCACCCCTTTTTAAACCATTTTGAAGCGTACAGTGTGGTGGCATTAAGTAGGTTCGCATTGCATTGTTGTGCAACCATCACCACTATTCATCCCCAGAACTTTTTTTCATCATACCAAACTGACATTCTATACCCATTAAGCAGTAACTTCCCCCTCTACCCTCCCTCCAGCCCCAAGGTAACTACTGTTCTACTTTCTGTCTCTGTGAATTCTGGGTACCATATATAAGTAGTGTATTTTAATGTAACAGTGTGAAAAATTCACTGATGTAGTTCCTATTCCACACTGCAACCAATCTTTAAGAAACTACCATTTTTTGGATT